GAAAAAAAAAAAAAAAAAAAAAGTAGTTCTAATCATAAATAATCAATAAGCTACTGTATATAATTAATTATGTACCGTTGGGCTCTGGCCTTTGGCAAGTTCACCATACAAGGCTGGATTTTTCCTGAATTATGCAGACAAGACAATATTATAATTCATCTTTCTTTCTTATATACTTGGTTTTTTTTCCTTGTCCAAAAAGAGGCCGACCAAAACGAACATGGCTTGGTTACTTCAAGCATTCAAAAACTCCATATTTATTAGAAATGATATTTAGTTTAATAATTCACTTATTTATGTAATAGGATCCGTTTGACAAGACTTTTGAAAAGTCAAAAATTGATTCTGGGACCAAGAATTTACTTTTGAATCTTTATCGCTTTTAGATTTAGTGAAATTGGCCTAAAACAACTTCTTCATTAAGCTCTTGTACAAAAAGCAGATGCATAAGTATTGCCTAACAATCGCCGAGTATACTTATTTTGGGTGGAGTAGCTTACTCATATTTCTCTCTTTTGAAGTGGACAAAGCCATTTTTCAGCTGCTCAACAGTGCTGGAAACGGTGGTTTTGTCAACCGTTGCCAACTCTGCTTTAATCTGATCAATTTTTGCTGCAGCCACTGGTGCCAATTCTCCATTCTCACTGCATCAAATGTTGTAATTCGATCATTTTCACTACTCTTCGGAAAATTCGATTTAAGTAAAGAAACATCCAACATGGCTTATGTTTATGTGGGTTCCACTTTATCCAAACCTGAGAAGTTTTTGAAGTCCGGCAATGGCTTCCTCGTACTCTTTCCCCATATCTTCTCTCTGCAATTTCTCAATTTTAATACACATAAACGAAAATAACATAGAAAATAAAAACATCCCCAAGTCCTAGGTTGTAGTAAAATTTTAATTTTGCACAATCGAAATTTTAGTATCATCAAACACTATAACTATTTAAGATTAGGACTCGACAATTAACACAATCGAGTCCTAATCTTAATCTTAAATTCGAACACATTCGTAATTAATAAAATAAGAGTGTAAATCTCGACCCCATCCACCACTTTTCTATCAAAATTTACTAAAAAATTGAATTTTTATATGAACAAAATTAAGTACCAAAATGGGGTGGATGATAGGAGCAGGAGCAGCAAAAACAGGCTTATTTTGAATGAGACTCGGTGGAGAATTAGACGACGCTTGACAAAGTACGAAGGGGCGTCTCTTGAGGGAAGAATTAGGAATGAGGGAAGTAAGTGCGCATCCGTTAACGGTCGACATTGTGCACCGCAGCATGCAATTTTCTGCCTTTATAACCCAACCACTCTACCGGATAATGAAAGTGAAAGTTGACGAAGCAATAGCTTCTAATATTGCAGATCAGATTTGGACGCTGGAGATTTGATGGGGTTATAGTCCTTTTGCATGAACTGTGCATGTGTGGCATGCATGCAATGGCCATTCGCCACCAATCTTTTATGGATATTATTTCTTTATTTTTTTAATGCATTATTGGATTTCGACTTTGGCTCCAACCTTTAAAATGAATCATTAAGTAAGTTACCGTCTAAATATTCACCAAATTGTCATCTGGGATGAAATTCAGATTTTTCAAGTTAGTAAACAACATCTATATATATATATATATATATATATATATA